CCCCCTCGGCCGCGAAGGCGCCCCGAGTCGGCTGTCCACCACGCGGGGCCCGCGGTGGCCGTCCTGCCCCCGCGCCGGCGTCGGGCTCGCCGTGCGGGCGGCGGGAGGAAGGGCCCGGGTGAGCATGCGGGCGGGGGTGCGCGGGCCCCGTGGGGTCCCCACACCGTCCCCAGCTGGCCTGGAGGTCGGCGTCCTCCCCAGCCCGGTTGCTTTGCGCTATCTTTGTCCCCGGGCCATCCCTCCGGCCTACGCTATCCTCCACGCCCACATTCCTCAATAATCCTAGACACTTCAGGTGGGCGGTGTCCTGGTTGCAGTTGTTCTGCGGGGGAGGGTTGGCTTTAGACGTCGGTACCTCAGAGCTAGCCCTCACAGAAAAAACCAAAAACAAAAAACGGAACTTGTTTAAACGAGGAATCAGTTTATTTATTTACTTAAGCACACCAACCCCAGCTTATAGCCCAACTCTGGTTTGCTTGTATTTTATGTGTGACTATACTGAGGAAAATATTCTAATAATCTACAGTCCAAACCAGTCTTTTGATTTACTCTTAAAGTTAAATATTTCTGTAGCCTATAAATGAGGAAAAAGTTATATGACAGAGAATATTGAAATAAATCAGTTTTTTTTTTTTCTATTTACTTAAAACAGCAAGAAATTTTCAGTTTGGAGCCATATTTAGGAGATGGACTAAAGGATAATAATAGTGACCAATTGTTCCTTGAGAGTATAGTGTAGATGGGTTATTTGTTTATCTGTCTTTTGGGATCCAGCTGAGAGCATCGTGAATCCTGCGCTCTTCTACAGACTATCCATAACCCGTAGGCATACATTTTGGTCAAAGAATGAATTCATGTGCTTTTCTAATAATTGAGGTAATGGTTGCTGACACTGCTTGTGAGCCAGGATAAAGTTAAATGTAGATGTCTCAGGTTTATAGTGAGTGTAAAATTGTTGCTCAATATACCAATTTTAAATCAAGAACTGATACACTAGGAAGCTGGGGTATTACTGGTAGATCACAAGTAAATCTCTGAATTTGCTCTCCAGCATTGCAAAAAAAAAAAAATTCTTCTGGGTAGTTCTGGTATCAGAAGTATATTTTCCCAATCACAAGTTTAATGACTTAGATTACAATTGCCTTATTCCTCTAATACAGTTTATTATTATTATTATTTATTTTCATGTTATTTGATATGAAGTGTTTTGGAATTTCTAGGAAATGATTTTTTTTTTTAAGCTCTAGGAACCTAGTTCATTGTTGTTAGAATTTGTGACGTCTTGTATACTTGTATTGAATTGAAATTTCTGTTTTGTTTTGGTTTGGTTTTTTTGACCAGGAAGGCTAAGATGCCCAGGAAACCTGTAATAAAAAAAGGATCTCAGACAAACCTTAAAGATCCAGTGGGGGTAAGATTTATGTGTGTGTGTGTGTGTGTGTGTGTGTGTCTGTGTTCTTTAGTCCGTCTGTGTGTGCTTGAAAGGGGAGGGAGAAGCGATAGGAGCACACTTGTTAAATTGACGCACTAAATTGTGTGCATCTGGCTTTAGCCATGGAGTTTTCTTCCTCTACAGGGTTAACTGGCCCAGAAAAAAGGAAGTCTTTAGATGTTGGCTGCAAACCTGTTAGCACTAAATAGATTTGGAAAGTTAAATGATCAGAAACTCTCCTCCCAGGTTCTACTCTTTGCAGCGGGGCAGGGTGGGGACTTTGTTCTCTCCCAGCTGTGGTAAGCTGTGGTAACTGATACGTTCGCAAAGAGAACCCTATATTCAGAATTCATAGAGCCTAGTGTTGAACAACCCAACTCAGCTGCTACCTTCTGAAAAAAGACGGGTTTGCTCGGATGTGTTTTGAATACCGCCACCCCACTGCCACTGCAGAGGGTCTCTGGGTCTCAATTGTACCACCTGCTTTGAGCACGGCTGGCCGGCCAGGTTTTCCTGCAATGAGCTCCTCTACCCTCCAAGTGCTGTGATTACAAGTGGTTGCTGCCATGCCTACCTGGGCTGGCTGTTTGAGAGAGTTTTATGTTAGTACAATTTTATTTGTGCACAGTAGTGAAGAGAAACTACAATTTAATATCATAACCTAAATTTACCTTGATTTAATGCATCTTTGTATTTGACCACTCTGAGCTGTAGCTTTTGTTTTTTTATGACTAAGTATGTTTATGCTGAAGATCAGATATTTGTAGATGAATGAATAGCAGCTTAAATGGGAGATCAAGAGAGTGCTGAACATTGAAGGTGCTTTGTGCCTATAGTCCCAGCAACAGGAGATGAGTCTAAGGCAGGCAGATTGCTGAGGGTTCCAGCCAGGCTTGGGCTACAGAGTGAGAACCTTTGTCTCAACAAACAAAACAAAACAAAACAAAACAAAACAAAACAAATAGAAAGACCAAAAAGAAAGTCAGGCAAAAAGGCAACCTTGTTTAAACACCTTTCTCTTTCCAGGTGTACTGTAGGGTGCGCCCACTGAGCTTTCCCGATCAAGAGTGCTGTGTGGAAGTGGTTAATAATACAACTGTGCAGCTCCATGCTCCTGAGGGCTATCGACTTAACAGAAATGGAGAGTATAAGGAGGTAGGGTCCTAGTGGGACGGAGCTGTTTTCTTTTTTGAATTTAAAAATTTGTGTGTGATCTCACTTGTGGGAAGGAATGCTTTAGCCACCTATCTAGAATGTCTTTGATTTCTAGGACATACAGATAGACTTTTGGTATATTGGAATTTAGAGGATTGTTTTCTCTTTTTGGTATTTTTGTGATAGAGTCTTACTGTGTAGGTCTGACTGTCCTTGAACTCACTGTGTAGACCAGGCTGGCCTCAAACTCACAGAAATATGCCTGCCTCTGCCTCCTGGGATTAAAGGTAGGCGCCACCATCACCTGGCTTCCAGGAGATTTCTTAAACTGGATATGTTCAACTTCGCACCAAGAGATTTGAATAACATTTAATAATAGGCATTTTGTGTGTTTTTCCTTTTGCTGGGGCTTACACCTAGGGCCTTGTGCAAGCTAGGCAATTGCTCTGCCACTTGAGCTATATCTGCGTAGTATTGTATATTTGAATTAACCTGTTATGAAGCGGTTTTGTTTCTGTAAAATATCACCATGTAGCCCAGTGTCTTAGTCACTGTTCTGTTGCTGTAAAGAGACACTATGACCAAGGCAACTTTTACAAGAAAGCATCACAGTTTAAGAGGGTTAGTCCATGATCATCATGATGGGAAGCCTGGTGACACGCATGCGTAGCACCAGAGCAGTGGCTGAGAGTTTACAATGATCTACAACCATGAGGCAGAAGGAGAGGGACACTGGGCCCTATGTGGGCTTTTGAAACCTGAACCCACCCACCATTGCACACCTCTTCCGACAAGGCCACATGTCCTAATCCTTCCTAAACTGCACCAGCTTGGAACCAGACATTCAAATATATGGGCTGGGGGGCGGGGCGTCCTCATTCAGACCACCACACCCAGGCTGGCCTCAGAACTTCTTCTGGTCTACCTGTTTTGGTCTCCCCAGTGCTGAAATTAGAAGTGTGTGTATCACTTGATGCCTTCAGAGTGGGTTTTTCTTGTTGGGATTGGACCTTGTTCATGGTAGGCAAGTGCTAGCTACAGCCTCAGCCCCCCACCTTCCTTTTTTTTGAGATAACATCTCTTTGGTCAGTCTGGCCTTGAACTGCCCTTACAGCTTGAGTGGTATTATAGGCATGTATCACCATATGTAGTACTTGGAGAATATTTTGCTTATTATTTGCACTGTTGAGGAATGAATTTAAGGCCTCCTGCCTGTTTGGCAAATGTTTTACTTCTGAGGTATATTACCAAGCTGTTGGTGGGAAGTTTTATATTTAGCAAAGTAGTGAATAAATTGAAAAATCATCCATTTAAGCTTAGCATAGTATTTCACATCTGTGGTACTAGAGTTTAGGAAGCTGAAGCAATAAGGGTCATGAGTTTCAGGCCAGCCTGTTCTGTAGAGGAAGACCTGCTTCAAATACAATAACAACAATGAATATATAAATAGAATTCCTTATAGTTCCCCAAATGTTGTAGGAAGCTGGTCAGTCACTAGCTGGTATTTTAAAAAGTAAGACTGTACCCTTATGGACTTTATACCCTAAATTGGCAATTGGTGGACAAGTAGGTCATATATATGTGTATATGTGTATATATGTGTGAAATAAGGCAGAAAGTCAGGTTTGTTGAAGGAGTGGGGAACATGGGAAAATAGAGGATCGATTCAGGCTGTCTGCTTTCTAGCTGCCATTCACTCTTTTATTTGTTGAGACGGGATCTTACTCTAATCTGCTTGCCCCAGAGCTTGCTAAATAGTCTGGGCTGACTTTAAACTTGTGGCATTTGGTCTGCCTCATTTTCCTGTATGCTGAGATTTCAGGCCCGAGCCACCACATTGGGCTGCCATTCAGGCTTGTGTACACTACTGCAGTGTCATGATTCTTTGGGCCTCATGTCCTCTCCGCTGCCAAATTTGTCCTTGTTATCTCAGCAGCATGTTCCTTCCTGAATTATGCTCGTTTCCCTCTCCAACTCTCAGCTGGTTTGTCTCTAGCCTCCCTTTGCTAGTTTCTCCCGTCTAGCCTCTGAATACTAGGGTGTGCCGTGTCCAGCCTCATATTTTTTCCCCTATTTCTCGTCTTCTATTTTCTGGTTTGTTTGTTTGTTTGTTTTGAGACAATCTCACACATTAGCTTGGGCTGGACTAGAACTTGTTTTAGTCTCCTGAGTGTTGTAGGTCTGAGTCACTGTGCTTGACACAGGGACTCTTTTCTATCATTTCCATGGTTTTAAAGGTTCTGAAAATTTTATGGCAAGCCCAATTTTTTTTTCTTACTCTAATTATTTTATTTTTAGGTGTTTTACCTTTCTGAGACAGTTTCTCTGTAGCTTTAGCTGTCCTGGGACTCTGTAGACCAGGCTGACCTTGAACTCATAGAGACCTTCCTGCTTATGCTTCCTGAGTACTAGGACCCCTGTGCCACCACTGCCCTACCCATCTCAAGTTTTAAGCATTGAAAGGAGCTATTGAGTCCCTATGACCCTCCAAATGTTTTCTTCTTAGCCTTTTCAAATATGGTGCCGTTGTCGTTCAGTAGCCCAGTGCAGAAGCCTGGAAGCTATTTTCTTCTGTCATCTGCTCGTATTGGGTCACATATAGACACTCCTCAGCTCTGCCAAGTGGATCCTCAGATTATCCTTTCCTGTCTGTCTCTCCTGCCACTAGCTTATTCTGAGCTGGTTAGTAATCAAACTGTCTGTGGGGAAGTGTTTTTATTTTGCTCAGGGCAGCGGATACTTGGCTTGTGCTAAGTATAACTAACTGCACAAGTGCCCTGACTAACTGCTCTCTGAGCTCTATGTTGAGATGTGTCCACTGACTGCAGGCCGAGGAGGAGCTATGGAAGACATAGGAAGCAGGAAATGGCTCTCAGTGTTAAGGAGGCCTGGTAACAGCCAGCTCTCAGGCACTCGTGCTGAGGATGCTTTGAGGAGCACCCATACCCTCTGGTGAGGCCTGTCTGGTCTGTCTGCTTTTACACAGGATCTTGTCTAATGGTTTTCACAGAGCTGCAAGAATGATCGTGCAAAGCAGAAAGAGATCTTATCATTTCCCTTAAATCTCTCAAGGCGTAAAGTCTATAAGTGGGCACAATCTCTCCTGCTCATCTCCCCATCCTTATCTTTTAGTACTCATCTAGTCTTTTGGGATCCTCTGTAAGTCAAAATCATGCTTACCTGCCATTTTGGACAACCTGGATTTCTCTCTTGTTACCTTGATACCTCCTCATCTTGATTCTCAGCTTAGGTTTTGCTTCCTCAGGGTATTCAAACCACGCCAGCATAAATAGCACCTCACTCTAGTACTCAGTGTGCTTCCTTTATAAAACACTTATTATATTGGTTTTTTGACAGCTGTGCAGTATTTAAAGATGAAGGTGTGCTCTGAGGTCACTGGGAAGGTTCACCACTTTGTGAACATGACCAAACACACTTGCATTTGCTAGATGGACTGCCATAATAGACACCATGGGCACATAGACTGTTGCTGTTAGACCGCAGCAGCACACTGCTGTCTGCAAGTTAGGAGGCAGTTATACCACAGTGCGTCTGTGCCTAGCCATACAGGTTTGTTTACCCTAGTGTCACCACCTCCTGGAGTACTGTGGTAGGCCCTTTCCTTTAGGGACTAGTTTGTCACCTTAGGGGACCACCATTGTTGGTGGTCTCTTACCGAGCTGGAGCAGCACAGGATGCACGTCTGTACTTGTGCTCACTGTCTTTCTCCTGCTCCTTATGTAAGCATCAGAGGGATGTGTACCTTCTGTCTGTCTAAACTGTTAAGTTTGGATTAAGTAAGAATGAATGGTCAGGAAGGTTGGTGGAGCAGCACGTCTTTGAGGATACAATGGGAGTTGAATACTGATTCACTGAATTTCAGGCTTGTACAAGTCAGTCTAAAGTACATACAAAACACAGGGTTTGGTGGGGATTGAGTACTCAGAGCAGCTGTGGAGCTGGCTTTGCTGCTGTTCAGGACTTGAGTAGGTCCCTTCTTGCACCTGTTTTCTTTACTCCAAAGGAGGAGGTGTTCTTGAGGAAGAGGAGAGCATCTGTTTTCCTTGGAAGTATTCTACATGTGCTTGTCATGCTGCATTGTTTACTGAAAGTACATTCAGAATGAAAACTTGACAAAGGTCAAAGTTAGCCTAACTGAAATAGGTGTTTTAAATAAATTTTTTTTTTTAGACCTTTAAATTATATATATATATGGGTCTGGTGCTCATGAGGTCAGGAGAAGGCACCAGATCTGGAACTGCAGTTACAGACAGCTGTGAGTCACCATGTTAGTGCTGGGAACTGCTGAGCCATCTCTTCAGCCCCTGAAGTAGGTGTTTTTCTCTCTAATAGGTTATTTAATCTTATTTATAATTTCTAAAATAGTGATTTGAGAGGCTGGAGAAATGGCTTCCCAGTAAAGAACACTTGTTCTTGCAGAGGACCAGGCTTTGGTTTCCAGCACCATGTGATGACTCAACTTTCTTTAGCTCTTACTTTATGGAATCAGACACCCTCTTTTGGCCTTGTTACATAGTGAGGACTACTTAAGGAAGTGTGTGCGTGTGTGTGTGTGTGTGTACATACACATATATGTGTATACATACATATGCACACATACATGCATACAGGGTCAAAAGTAACATTTATTTTGTTTAAGAACTCAGATAACACAGGCCAATGGAGGCACATGCCTTAAATCCCAGCACTCAGGAGGCAGAGACAGGTGGATCTCTATGAATTTGAGGCCAGCCTGGTCTACAGAGTGAGTTCCAGAACAGCCAGGGCTACACAGTGAAACCGAAAAATAAACCAACAGCAACAACAAAAAACTCAGATAAGATTATAATTAATTTCCAGTTTTAAAATGCTGTCCACTTGTTATTTTGCTGTCTTATTACAAAATCTTTTTATGGTTTTTTTTTTGTCTGTGTGCACACTGTGTACTTGTGTGGTCAGAGAATAACCTATAGGACATGGTCCTCTCCTTTCACCACCTGAATTCCAGGGATTGAACCTAGGTTCTCAGGTTTGCTAACAAGTGCCTTTACTTTCTGAGCCATCTTGTTGCTTTGCTACTTTGTATGTACCTTTGTAAAGAAAAAATAGAAAGCTTTGGCCAGGGGTGGTGGTACATGCTTGTGATCTTAGCACTTGGAAGCAGGGGCAGGAGGATCACTGAGAATCAAAGGTGGACCTGGCTATGTTGCAAGTTCCAGGCAGCCATGACTGCACGCAGACTCATACAAGCACACTCAAAAGAAAAGAAAACAACAACAAATGGAAAACTGTAACACTTGACATTTTTAATAAATGTATTTACTTATGTTTTATCTTTTTGAGACAGTTTCTCCATGTAGCCCTGGCTGTCCTGGAACTCACTGTGTAGATTAGGCTGGTCTGCGTTTATGCCTCTACCTCCCCAGTGCAGCTATTAGAGGTATGTGCCACCACCCACCGCTCAGCGTAAATCTAAGGTTATCATTCATTGCCTTGTTTTGCTTTGTTTGCTAACATGATTTACACTGTAGCCCACGCTGGCCTGTGATCTCTGTGTAGCCCCAGGCTGCCATCAAACTCATGGCAGGCTTCCTGCCGCAGCCTCCGAAGCACTGGGTGTGCATTCTCACTTTTGATCACTCTCCATGTGTGCAGCGTTAGTGCGCTTAATGACTTCTGCACTGTGCGCAGTAGACAGGACTGAGAGTGTTTGTTATGATAGCTGTGACTCCTGAGGTCTCTAAGCTTGAAGATCATTGTTGGTTTGATCTTTGCTCATAATAGGAACACTCCAAGTGCAGAACAGAGCGATTTCTAACCTAATGGAGTTCCGTGTGCTCCTTTTTTCCTTCTTCCCACAGACTCAGTACTCATTCAGGCGGGTATTTGGCGCTCACACCACCCAGAAGGAACTTTTCGATGTTGCGGCAAGTCCTTTGGTAGATGACCTCATTCATGGCAAGAATGGTATGATTCTGGGAGTTTAGTTGGATTCTCTGACCATATGATAGAATTTTTTAATATTATATATTTTGACTTGACACTGGATTCAGATTTAACTCATTAGAGTGATGCCCTTTGGGGGTTTGCTAATTTTTGTGTTTTAATATAATGAAATGATATGTGGGACTTTTAAGACGATAGCTCATTGTTCCTTGCTACACTGCAGGTCTTTTGTTTACATATGGTGTGACGGGAAGTGGAAAAACTCACACAATGACAGGTTCTCCAGGGTCTGGAGGCCTGCTTCCTCGATGTTTGAACATGATCTTTAACAGCATAGGGTCATTTCAAGCAAAACGTTATGTAAGTACAATTCCTTTGGGTTGTGACTGTCACTGTAGACATAGAGCTGAGCCATCTCTGGTGCAGTGATGCTGAGGAAGGACAAAAGCATTGGAGTGACTTTGAATCTTCCATATAGTCAGATGTGGTGGGCATGTTTGGTACATGCCTGTGATGCCAGCATTTGAGAAACAGAAGCAAGACGATCAAGGACCAGCACCTCTAATGCCCTTTCCCCAATGTTCAAATGTTAACCGCTTTCTAATTTTAGATGTTTCCATTCCTTAAGTAAAGTTGATCTTTTCAAAAGTTTTTTTGCTCCTCTTTTAGGTTTTTAAGTCTAATGATAGGAACAGTATGGAAATACAGTGTGAAGTTGATGCCTTGTTAGAACGGCAGAAAAGAGAAGCCATGCCCATTCCAAAGACCCCCTCTAGCAAGTGAGTAACTTCACCGTAACCCAGACAGGTGGAATTCTGTCCTGTAGTTTCTGTAGGTCTGGGTAAAGTGAATATGAATTAGAAAAGTTGGTCTTACAGTTGACTTTTGTGACTTTTTGCACCTGTGTTGTGAATCTTGAGGGCCCAGGCTGACCTTGATCTACCTTGAATCTGAATAAAGTTGCTTTATGAATTCATCTATAGGTGGCAGAACATGTTAGAGTTTGTTATCACTCTGGTATTGTCTCAGGCTTCTAGTGATATTGCTTGAACAAAGCAGCTTGGCAAAGAAAAGATTTATTTCATCTACACTTCCAAGTAAGAGTCCATTACTGAAGGAAGTCAGGGCAAGAACTCAAGGCAGGAGCTGATGCAGAAGCCATTTAAGGATGCTGTTTACTGGCTTGCTTCCCATGTCTTGTTCAGCCTACTTTCTTATACAACCCAGGACCACCTGCCCAGGGTTGGTACTACCCACAGTGGGCCAGGCCCTCTCCCATCAGTCATTAATCAAGAGAATGCTGGCCAGATTTGTCTGTTGGCCAGCTTCTTAGAGGTAGGTATTTCTCCAGTTGAAAGCCCCTTTTCCCAAAGACTCCAGCCTACGTCAAGTTGACATAGAACCAGCCAACACAGATATTCTCTACTTTTTATGTTGACTCACAGTGGGTAAATTTGACCTTACGGGATCTGTTTCTCATTTTAGGCGACAGGCAGATCCAGAGTTTGCAGATATGATAAATGTTCAAGAATTCTGCAAAGCAGAAGAAGTTGATGAAGACAGTGTCTATGGCGTATTTGTCTCTTACATTGAAATCTATAATAATTACATATATGATCTATTGGAAGAAGTGCTGTTTGATCCCATAAAGCCCAAGTAAGTACCGAAGAGAGTCTTCAGTAAACCCTGGAAAATTAATCCAGCGAGCCATGTTTTTGTTTTTGTGTTTGTTTTTGTTTTTTTCAGGTATAAACAGGGCTAATACTTGTTTTCAGAATGCACACATTAATCGTGTAGTCATGCACAATAAATACATTTATTTATTTGAGACATGGTTTCTCTGTGTAGTTCTGGCTGTCCTGAAACTCAGAGATCCACCTGCCTCTGCCTCCCAGAGTGCTGGGATTAAAGGCATTCGCCAGCACACCCAGCAATATTTTCATTCTTTGTTTGTTTGTTTTTCGAGACAGGGTTTCTCTGTGTAGCCTTGGCTGTCCTGGAACTCACTTTGTAGACCAGGCTGCCCTCACACTCAAAGATCTGCTTGCCTCTGCCTCCTTAGTGCTAGGTTTAAAGGTGTGTACCACCACGCCTAGCCCTAATACTTTTATTCATAACTAGATTGTAGCTATATTAGGAAATCAGCAGGTTAAGGTATAGTGATCTAAATTTTCATCTTGAGAATTGCTTTTGAAAACTTAGATTTAGGTTTAAGACAAATCTCAATTTTATAGGTAGTTTTTGGGGCACCTTTCAAAACCCTGTCAGTGCTGGGAGTTCTGCACCTTCTTTGGGCTGTCTGTGTCTTGGTGATTTCTATGGAATGGATCCTGGTCTGAACAAGTAATTCTTAGCTCATCCTTTGCCAAGTAGTGTAAACTCACATTGCACTGCCATTCTGCCAGAGGAAGCTACTAGTCCCCAGGTATCTGTGGGTCTTGCCTTGAAGAATCTGAAGATCACTTACCATGTAGCTTTACAGAAGTGCCTTTCTTTATGCCAAAGCTGACACACAAATTCTGTGTCAGAAGACTGATGCTGTTTTTAAGTGGATGGTTTTGTTCCTTAGCTAAAGGCTGGTCTTACATGCAATTTCACTGCAGCCAATTAGAGCATAAATGATGCGAAGGCCTTTGTCTTATACATTACATTTGTGTATATGTGTACTGTGGAAACAGCTGGATTTAGAAAACCATTAAAGTAAAAACAGTCTGATGTTCACTAATATGAAAAATGCATTGACTGACTGAGGCCATTCTTAATAAAAGAATTTTCTGTGGCTCTTTCTGAATTGCATTTCAACAAAGGATATTCATTTAGATCTTTGAATTACTAATGATTAGTAAAGTAGGAATAAAGTGGCTAGGTGGATTAAATCTGAAAGTCTTTTGCTTTACTCACCCATCTTCCAGAGGAGAACAGCTTTGTTTTGGGGTAGTGTTGCGTGGCACAGGCTGCTCTCCACTTACACGCGCTTCTCCTACCTCAGCCTGTTGGTGCTGGGACAGCAGTGTATACCCCCAAACCTGGCTTCAAATGCAATTTATATAAAGGGGCTTCTTTTTGAAGTTACCTGTCTGACTTTGTTTTTGGAATGTTGAAATTAAGAGAGAAGTACCTAGGTTAAGTTGTAGAGAGTAATGAGAGTAAGGTCTTGGAGGCAATGCTTTTTATGTTTATTAAATTACTTTCCCATTTTAACAAATATTTTCACACATGTGTTTTAAACTATTCTTTGTGTCAACTCTAGTTTTGTATGTACCTGTTTTACTTAAATATTTGTGATGTCATTCATTGCTACCAATTAACTTTCTTTTTTACATTTTTGGTTGTAAGCCTAGCCTTTAACGGATGAGCCATCTCTCTTAACTTTTTTTTTTTTTTTTTAAGTTAGGCTCACCATATAGTTAGGCTAGCCATGAATTCACAGAGATCCACCTGTCTCTGCCTCCCAAGTGCTAGGAGTAAGGGCGTACCCTACCGTGCCCAGCACTGCCAGTCACTTCTGTGTCTGTAATGTTTGCAGTTTGTTTGGCTTGTTCTAAGTGACATAGTTTCAGGTGATATTGGCATGGTTTATTCAGTCACGCAAAGGAAATGAGTGCCTTCCTGGGTTATCTTTTGATGCCTGTAGAAGGTTGAGCACGATTGTGGATTTAATGTGAGGATGGTATTGGCTTTCCTTTTCTGAGGGGTTAATGTAGTGAAGCATAAGTTGAGTGTTTTAAATCTGCTTCATCATCACTGTCACCATCTAGACCGAAATGCTTCCGCAGGATGGCTACTCTAGAGCCATCTAATGTCTGCCTTCTTCCTTTGGTAGGTGGAATGGGTGCAGCACACCAATGAGGAGCACAGAGTCAGTGTATGTGATGGTATTGACTCAAGGGCCTAGTTAACACTAGTGGTGGTCATAGGTGGCGTGTTTGTAAGTAGTTTGCTTTTCTTTGGCAGTGGGCAGGCTGCAACCGCTAACCGCTCCTTTCTTCTACAAAATCTTCCCCTGATTATCAGTGATGGGGACTGGTAAATGTCTCCATCCTCACCATTCACAAAACTGAGTATGGGGCTGGTGAGATGGCTCAGCAGATAAAGGTGCTAACTGCCAAGCCTGACAACCTGAGAGCCATCCCTGGAACCCACATGGTAGAAGGAGAGAAGTGAATTATAAGTTGTCCTCTGACCTCCACATATTCAAGCCCAGATAAATAAAATTAATTAAAACATGGGGTTGGTGAGATGGCTCAGCCGTTAAGAGCACTGGCTGCTCTTCCAGAAGACCTGTGTTTGATTCTCAGTACCAACGTGGTGGCTCACAACCATCTGTAACTTCAGTTCCAGGGACCCAATGCTCTCTTCTAGTTTTTGTGGGTGCCAGTCCTACATGTGGTACACAGACTTACATACCATCAAAACACCCATACATGTAAAGCAGTAGTACTTAAAAACAAACCAACCAAAACAAAATAGGCAAGCACCCTTACCTAACCTTCAGCTGACTGACTGCAGACTAGAATTCACCATGCCTCTTTTCAAGGATGTCACTCCTGGCATATACCAAGACCTTTCTGAGTTCATCTGCCTTTCTGTGAAGGGCAGCGCCAGTTGTATATGCTGATCTCTTAACTGAGGAAGGTGCTTGATGGTGTGCATAGCTGCGCTGAGGGTTGTAGTGCTGTAGTACTGTTCTAGGCTAGTTCTTCATGGTGCTTAGTGTGCTTTCTAGAGTGGCTTAGAGCGAGCTTTAAAGACAGTTTGTACTTTGTAACTAATGTTGGCTGTATAATCATGTTTTGTTTTTCAAGCCTAACATTTCTTTGGTGATCTTACATAATTTTACATCCATTAAAGCGTGGACATATGAGAGCATGCTTGCTCTGTCTTACTCTGTGGTGCCTCTGTCATAAAACCCCAGAAGGCCCTCCCTGGGTGTCAGTACTTCACTCTCGGACTGTCCAGCTTTATAACCATAAGTTAAATGTAAGAAAAGCTGGGATATGCTCAATGGCACAGCACTTGGCTAGTAGGCACGAAGCTCAGGCTCTGGAAGTGAGCTCTGGAGGAAGGGGATATTGTGTTGCTTGGCACTGTAATCGTAGTCTTAAAGACAGTTGGATCTCACTTAGGAAACTAACCTTTTTCTTCTTTCCCATAGAATCCCACAATCTAAAACGCTCCGAGAAGATAAGAACCACAACATGTATGTTGCAGGATGTACAGAAGTAGAAGTGAAATCGACAGAGGAGGCTTTTGAAATCTTTTGGAGAGGTTAGAAACAATTAGAATTTGAAAATGTGAACTGATGCTTTCAGCCCTCAGAGCTATTGCTACAGTTTAACAGTGGTCCTTTTGGGTTAACTGGAAAACAGGTATAATAAATAGCTGAGCTCAGGTATAATCAATGGTCTCTCTGCTGTCATAGGTCAGAAAAAGAGACGTATTGCTAACACCCATTTGAATAGAGAGTCCAGTCGTTCGCATAGTGTGTTCAACATTAAACTTGTCCAGGCTCCCCTGGATGCTGATGGAGACAATGTCTTACAGGTAATGTTTGTGCGTGAATCTTTTCTAATTCAGTCCTGATTTTTGAAGATGACCTAAACTATAAACTAGGGTGCTGACATGGTGATGAGGATTGGTCTAGAGTCAGTAGCCATGGAGCAGATGACTTTTATTTTCATGTCAGTAGTGCTGTTTCTGGGCTCTGCCTATTGAGTCTGTGACCTTAGTGCAGAGCATGTATGGCACTGTGTTGCTGTGTTGGGAAAATGGTCTGCAAAGCTTTAAAAGTCTGTAAGAATAGCTGGGCATGGGGCACACCTGCAATCCCAGCACTCAGGGAGGCAGAGACAGGTGGATCTGTGTGAGTTCTAGGCCTGTCTGGTCTACAAAGTGAGTCCAGGATAGCCAGGCTACACAGAGAAAAAACCTGTCTGGACAACAAACAAACAAAAACAAAACAATGCCAGTCTGTAAGGGTGTGTGTTACATTGGTTTAGGTGTGGTTTGCCTTGGTGAGACATCTCATGTGATGAGGCCAGAATGACCTTGAACATTTTTGTTTTCTCTTTATCTCTGAGATTATAATGTAATTACATAACATATCCCTTCCCTTTCCTCTACCCAAACCTACCTTCCTTTCTTTTTTTTACTATTTCTCATTATATAGGCAAAGTTGGCCCCAGACTTTAAAAAGTCTCATAGGGGTCCACCTGCCTGAGCCTCCTGACTGCCAGAATTAGAGGCATGCATTACCATATCTGGCTTTTTTTTTTTTTTTTTTTTTTTTTTTTTTTTTTTTTTTTTTTTTTTTGACACAATCTGACTATGTAGCTTAGAGCTCAGAGATTCACTGCCTCAGCCTCCCCTGCTAGGACTAAAGTCTTGCTTCACTGGTCATGATTTTAACTGTTTAGTCTGGCCATGACCAGGCTGGCAGGAAAGTTCCGGGGTCCATTAGGATTTGAGTTCTGACTCCTGCCTATTGTACAGTCAGAAACTGACTATGAGGGCCTCATAAGCTTGTGAGAGCTAAGGGAAGCAGGGTGAAGTTTCTTGTCCACTTCTTGGATTAGTCATTGCTTAATAAATGTTAGTCAGAAAATGGCCACAAACACATCTCCACACCTGATTTCCTGTGAGTGACTCTTCTTTTGGTGCTAGGGATGTGAGTTCTAGCTACTAGCATAATACCAGTTAGGTGCTTCTTGACTTACATTTATTTTTTTAAAACCTTATATGATGTGTATGACTGTTTTGCCTGTATGTATGTTTGTGTACCACGTGTGTGCCTGGTGCCTGTGGCCAGAAGAAGACATCAGATCCCCTGAAACTGAAGTTACAAGTGTCTCTAAGCTGCCATGTCAGTGCCAAGAACCATACCTTTGGCTTCTGCAAGAGCAACCTGTGCTCTTAACTATTGAGCATCTGTCTGCCTGGCTTTCTTTACACACACACACACACACACACACACACACACACACACACACACACATATACATACATATACATATTTATATAAAGTCTGAGAACTGTGAAATTGTTCTATTACCTTAAATTATGGGTTTTTTTTGGGGGGGTGGCTTTTGTTTTTTCTGGTTTGTGTGTTGCTGAAGACAATGCTTAGAACTCCCAGTCCTGGAATATAGATACCTGGTTATAGTAGAATGGAACAGACCTCTGGAAGTCCTCTAATGTCTGCTCTGAGGACAACTGGGTAGCAAACAAGCAGTCAGCCAGGTGCTTCTAGCAAACTTCCGGTATCAAGCGTCCTCTTCCATTCTGGGCATTTGTATTGTGCACGCACAGTGCCCTTTAAGATTTAATACTATGTTAACTGGAGTGTTTGTTTTCCTGAGACAGGGTTTTCTCTGCAGCCTTGGCTGCCCTAGAACTCACTTTGTAGACAAGGCTGGCCTGGAACTCTGAAAGCAATCCACCTGCCTCTGCCTCCTCCTGGGATCAAAGGTGTGTGCCACCACTGCTCGGTTTGTTGGCTGAATCTTAAAGAACATTGTAACACAGTATAATTTAGCTTAGAGTGTTGCTTTTATCCTTTCAGGAAAAAGAACAAATTACTGTAAGCCAGTTGTCTCTGGTAGATCTTGCTGGAAGTGAAAGAACCAACCGGACTAAAGCAGAAGGGAACAGATTACGTGAAGCTGGTAAGTAGAGTGCTATACTTACTTATGTCTGTAACTTTCAACAACTTGGAACATCAATTTGTATTTATCAGTGGGAGTTTTCTGCATAATCAGTGAAATAACATTGATTATTAAACTTAGCCTTTAAATTATGTCTTTAAAAAGTTATTAGCAATTTATTTGTGTGTGTGCACGCCTCAGGGTGTGCATAAAGGTCAGAAGGTAACTTTCGGGAATTAGTTCTTGCCTCTGGGGGTCCCGGGGATCATACTTGGGTCTTGCACCTTGGCAGCAAGTGCTTCTACTGGCTCAGCCATCTTGCCAGCCCACCTAAGTTAACTTTTTCTTTTTGTAGTCCAGACTGGCCTTGAAGGAACTTGTGATGGTCTTCCTGCCTTAGCCTCCTGAGTGTGTTGGTATTACAGGCGTGTATCATCATATCTAGCTAAATGATTTATCTGACAGGCATGATGAAATTAGGAAGTCTTAGTATTCCAAGATGAACAGGTCTAAAGCACTTGGGAGTCTGAGATCTGAAATTTTTAGAGGTGTGACTAATTTACTAGCCTTATCTGGGCTCAGATATCCAAATGAGATAGGTCAGAAAAAAGAAAACATGATTACTAAAAAATCCTGTTGAGATGCAGAGGAACAGATTTTGCTGGTTCCTAAGACACTTGAATGTTAGAAACATGTCCTTTCTGGGTGTAGGAGGGACTTCTGTCCCTTTCATACTGTAGTCCAAAATAATCACTTGGGATCTGGCTGCCCTCCCGGATATGAGGTGCCTGAGCTCAGTCTCCAGTACCACCGCCCCTGAAAAAGAAAGGAAGCCAGCCAAGCGACTGAGTTTGTCTGTGACAGGGTTTAGGGTTTGGGAGAAACTTACTTTTCTATTGCTGTGAAGAGACAACAAATTATATATATATATATATATATATATATATATATATATATAAAATACACTTAGTTGAGTGCTTGCTTACAGATGTCATGGCGGGGAGAAAGGCATGGTACTGCAGCAGTAGCTGAGAGGTTACTGTGGAGCAGTTGATTTACAACCATGAGGCACAAAGAGCAGCTGGGAATGGCCTGCACTTTTAAAACCTGTAAGCCTACCCCCAGTGAAACACATCCACCCACCAGGCCCTACATTCTAATCCTTCCCAAAGAGTTCTTCCAATTGGAGGCCAGTCAAACATATGGACCTATGAGAGCCATTCTCATTCAACTCACCATAGGATGAAGTGTCATATTGTATGCTGAGGCTAGAGAGATGGCTGAGCACTTAAAAGAACTTGTTGGCACCAGTGGTGCAAGTCTTTAATCCCAGAACCCTGAGGCAGAGGCAGGTGGGGCTCTATGAGTTTGAGGTCTGCCTGGTCTACAAAGCAAGTTCTAGGACAGACAGGACTCTGTTAAACAGAGAAACCCTGTCTCAGAAAAAACTTACTAACTAAATACCCAAAAAACGAACAAAAACCTTGTTGCTCTTCCAGATGACATAGGTTCACTTTGTGACATCTACATGATAGCATACAACTGTCTCTAACTCTAGTTCCAGGGGATCTGATGCCCTCTTCTGGCCTCTGTAAGCACCAGACACACATACACATTTCCATACATGCAGACAAAACACTCAAATGCATAGGATAAAAATAAACAAAGCTTAAAAAGAGACTCTTATTTAAGAGTAATGTGTTTAGAGAGTTTTTAATAGAGTCCCTAAAAGATGATTGCTGAGGCTGTTCAGAATCGGTACTGTTGAAAGTGCTAACCATGCATGGAGAGCTCTTGAACCTGAGTCGTGGACATCTAGCAGTTAAATGAAGTGGAAGTTTTACAGGCACCCAAAGGTAGCAGCTCCTATCTTGCTGTTTCAAGTGTCTTTTGTATTTGACTTCATCTCAGGTAACATTAATCAGTCACTGATGACGCTAAGAACATGCATGGAAGTCCTAAGAGAGAACCAGACCTATGGAACCAACAAGGTAAAGCAGCCTTCGTCTACTACTGTGGCTTACTTCGTGCATTTTGACTATCATGCTTAGTTTTCGGGTGTCCTTATAGATGGTTCCATATCGAGACTCAAAGCTAACTCATCTGTTCAAGAACTACTTCGATGGAGAGGGGAAGGTGCGGATGATTGTGTGTGTGAACCCCAAGGCTGAAGACTATGAAGAAAGCTTGGTAATTTAAGGGTATTTGCTCCGTATAGTTGGGATTCTTTCGGGAAAACAGCTACTGGGATGTGAAAAATAGCACTCGTATATTTCATGGATTGATACAGGGCCACTGGATATACAAATGAGGTATTTAGGCATCCATAAAGAAGGACTAGGGTGGGGTTGCTTTTACAAACTCTGTTTTATATTTTCAGCAAGTCATGAGGTTTGCTGAAGTAACCCAAGAAGTTGAAGTAGCGAGACCAGCAGACAAGGTGATATGTGGCTTGACACCAGGGAGACGATACAGAAACCTGCCTCGGGGAGGCCCACTTGGAGATGGTATGATTTGGTGTTAGATCTGTGTTCATTTGCTTGTCTTTCTGTAGCTTTTTAAAAAAATCTTCTTAAGAATCAAATGCAAGAAACTTTGAACTAAAGGTTTCTTTTGTTGTATGTTTTATTTAATTTTTGAGAAATTCCATACCTAAAGCAGGGCTCAGTGAAGCATACTTGTAAGTCTAGCTCTGAGTAAGCTGAGGGGTTCTGTTAATGGCATCAGACTTAAGTTCTTTAATAATTTTTAAATTCAATACAGAACCACTGGTGACTGAAGTGATTCCACAGAGCTTCCCCCCACTGCCCCCATACAAGCTTTTGGATGTCAATGATGAGGAGACCCTTCCAAAGCTGATCGAAACTTTGGAGAGACGACATCACCTTCGACAGCTAATGACGGAGGAGCTTAACAAGCAATGTAAGGCAGACCTGCTTCCAGCTGCTGTGAGGGCAAAGGGAGAGGCAGATCGCAGTGACTCCATCTGCTAGGACACCTCCTTAAGGAAGACTTCTTGGCTTTATAGTGGTCTCAAATGTTGTTTAATCCGAATGGCAAGATTTTGTTTTCCTCAACAAACAGCTCTATTCTAGTTTACTTATAAAGAATATAAGAAGTAGGTGTCTCTCTACCTGTTTTATTTTTAATAGTGATGGACACAAGATGGTATTTTATAGTTTTTCCCTGTTTTCAAGTTATTTATAATTTGTAATTGTTTGTGCCTCAAGATGGTGTACGGAAAAGTGAAATAATGTTTGAAAGTTTGTAGAGCAATTGAACAAGTCTGGTCTTTGGAAGTGACTTTGTTTCCATGAGTGGCCAAGTGTTATGCCTGGGTCTTCAGTCAGGTTCAGCAGATCTCAAACACAGATTATTTCTGTTTTTTAATTTGTAAGCAAGCTTTACTGTAAGTGTTAGGAAGAGGTTACAGAACACTTCTTTATGTGTTCTGTCTGCAAATACACCTACATGCCAGAAGAGGCCACCAGATCTCATTATAGATGATTGTGAGTCACCATGTGCTTGCTGGGAATTGAACTCAGGACCTCTGGAAGAACAGCCAGTGCTCTTAACCTTTGAGACACCTCACCAGGCCCTACAGAATATTTCTGTGAACATGTATAGATTTGACAATCAAACTTCCTAATTTCTTTCCATTGTTCTTACATTTGTTGGTATTGCACTCAGGGCCTTGCACATCCACAAAACAGACGTGCATAGGCAGCTGCATGTCCGGCCTCATGAACAAAGGCCACGGAGAGTCTGAGAGTGTCTGCCAGTGAAAGCTGGTTTTGTTGGTTTTATTCTGTACCAGTAGAAATAGCACAATCTGTGCTCTGTTTCAGGTATGACTTTCAAAGCCTTATTAAAAGAACTTGACAGTTCTCTATCAAATAAAGAAAACTACATTCAGGAGAAACTAAATGAAAAAGAAAAATTGATCTCAGGACAAAAATCAGAAATAGAACGACTGGAGAAGAAAAACAAAACTTTGGAGTACAAGGTTTGTGGTCACATTGTTCATCTGTGTGCTGGCCATTCATTCAGCAGTGCTCTCAGAACAGCTTCTGTACCCATTGCTGCTGTAAGGGGCACAGAAGGGAGGAGGACACTGCAGTCTGTAATGTTAGGAGTGCAGCTTAGCTTGAGACATGCAGGTATCTGGCTTATGAGGGACTTGTTGAGTAACTTCTCCCTTCTGGGTGGGAGCGAAACTGAGAAATAGAGGACAAACGTGTGTGTGTGTGTGTGTGTGTGTGTGTGTGTATTCTTTGCACAATTTTGTTTTTGTGAGCAATTTAAGGACTACTTATTCTACAGTTAGGTAAAATGTTTGCACAACAGATGCTGAGCACGGTGGTCTCCTTTGCAGATTGAGATTTTGGAAAAAACAACTACAATCTATGAAGAAGATAAGCGCAATCTGCAGCAGGAGCTCGAGAGCCAGAATCAGAAGCTTCAGCGGCAGTTTTCTGACAAGCGCAGATTAGAAGCCAGGTTGCAAGGCATGGTGACAGAAACAACGATGAAGTGGCAGAAGGAGTGTGTGAGTGTTCTTCTTAGGTTAAATATTTGCATTTCTGTGCTTGTGGCAGAGCCTTGGTGGTGTCTTTTAATCTCTGAAGAACTAAAGAACTGTCATTTTCAAGCAATAAAGTGGGTGATGTGGTGTGACTAAAGTAGACTCTAATTTGCCGTTGCTCCTTGTAGGAGCGTCGGGTGGCAGCCACCCAGCTAGAGATGCAGAATAAACTCTGGGTCAAAGATGAAAAGCTCAAACAGCTGAAGGCCATTGTGACTGAACCCAAACTTGAGAAGCCAGAGAGACCGTCTCGGGAGCGGGACCGGGAGAAGACCATTCAGAGATCTGTCTCTCCTTCGCCTGTGCCTGTAAGTGCTTGCAGCTATATGTAGCTTAGTGCTAGGAAGTTTATTCCAATTAGAGGAGTTTCTCTGTGAGGATTGTTTTGTTTCATGTCGTATATTTTTAGCTTCTGTTTTAAAACTTAGCACAAATGGCCTGGGCATAATGGCACCTGCCTTTAATCCCAGCATTTGGGAGTTTGAGGCATCCAGATCTCTGTGAGTTTGAAGCCAGCCTGGTTTACAGAGTTCCAAACCAACCAGGGCTACATAGTGAGACTCTGCCTCAAAAACAATACAAGTATAGCACAAAAAACTTAAATAACTGCAAACTGTTTCTTAAAATGTTAAATCAGCATGTAGTAAAATTGTGAAAAAGTAATATTGTTTCTCTTAGTTTGTTTTTCAGTCTTATTCATTAATTTTTCTCCAATTTTTCTAGCTTTCTAGTAACAATATTGCTCAGATTTCCAACGGCCAGCAACTCATGAGCCAGCCACAGCTACACAGGCGTTCTAACTCTTGCAGCAGCATTTCTGTAGCTTCCTGTATTTCGGAATGGGAGCAGAAACTATCTCCGTTCAGCACACCTGTCAATGTCACCTCTCTTGCAAGGCGTAGGCAGCAGGAGCCAGGACAAAGTAAAGCGTGTATCGTGTCAGACAGAAGGCGAGGGATGTGCTGGACTGAAGGCAGGGAGATGGTGCCTACGTTCAGCAGTGAGATAGGCGTAGAAGAGGAGCGTGGCCGCAGGGTTAGTGCCAGCCTCTTTCCAGCATTGCAGTGGTGGACTTTCTCTCTCTGCTCTTTATGCTTGACCCAGAAGTTCAATGGCACTGAGCACCCTGCGCAAGGCTAAGCTCTTGACAGGGGAAAGCAGGGGCACGTGCCTGGGAACTCTGAATGCCAGCCAGCATGCTGCCACAGGGCCTTTGCACAGAGTCTCGGGATACGATTCCTAGAGTCTGCTGCTGCTACACCTACTTCCTTCCTCTTATTTCTCTTCCTCTTTTTCCTCGTTTTCCTTTTTTTTCCCCCTTGTTTCTGGGATTGAACCTAGGGTTTCAACATGCTAAGTAATTGTTCTATCAATGAGCCATAGTTCCCTCAACCCAGATATGAATGTATGAGACTATACTTTTTTTGTTAAATTTTGGTTCCCCTTCCCCGAATTCAGTTTTTTTTTTCTTGCTGTTCTGGAAAAAAAAAAAATTCTTTTCATTTAAAAAATTTTGTTAATTCCACCATTGTCAGGTTCATTGTTGTTTTATGCAAGTCTTTCCTCTTAATGATGCATTCTAAAGTAAGTCATAGATTTTATGCTGTGTGTTGCGTTTTCCTGTGTAAACAGTCTACCACATTGAAGGAAGTCAGCATTTCCCGAGGAGACGGCCCCTCTCTGTCCTGCCTGTCCCAGTGTGGCCTTTCCTTCCTCCCATGCTGCTCTTCAGATGCTGCATGTGGCAGTCACAGATCTTTAACACCAAATTTGCTTCCACCTCGCTCAACAGTGCTGAAACAAACCAGTTCAGGTTTTCCTCAATATTAGATAACATTTCCTTTGATTTTGAATAAATCATCACACTAATACTGTGAATTGTATATTTAATAAAATCTTAGCTGCTCTTTTAAAATTATTGTTCTAAGTAAAATAGTTTGGCAGTAAATTCTTGCCTAAGATCTGAGCTGATTTGGAATGTTGATGAATGCCTGCTATCTGATTGCTAATAATGGTGACCAGTTCCAGGGTTCTCAGAGGTAACAGACAAATTCTAAAGTCTCAAATTCATTCTTAGCAGATTTTACTTTGAGCCTTTTAGCGAGCAGAAGCTGGTGAATGGTCTCTGATCAACTCTAGTAAATCCTCCTCTCTGTGAAGGTCAGATACAAAACTGCTGGCTGGTCTGTTTCCCCCTGGCCAGCAGGAAGAAAATGCCCAGTTTGGGCTGTGAGACAGTTAGGAGGATGTACTAAAGACATGGACTTCAACTTTCTTGAGATTGGATCTCTTTAGAAGTGCAGCAGGAAAGTTCCCACAGGATTAGTATCTGTGTCCATGGTCATTGGTCACAAGTGATCAAGCGGACTGAGTTTTACATTTTTGTGAGGAAAATGTAAAGAGTTTCAAAATACTTCGGTCATGACTGCTAGTAGATTCTCTGCAGTCTGTCCCCTTTCAAAGTTTTGTTTGAATGTATTGTGCTGTAAATGTGTTCAAGGGAGCTCTTCTGCCAGGTGCTAGAGCCTGAGAAGCTAGGTTTTCTTATTCAACATCAATCAGACCATTTTTAGAATGGAAGGTTTTCTGTCTGTACAGAAGCTCAGTGTCTTTGTGGCAAGTTATGGAGACTGTAGGGTTGTCACTTGAGCTGTCTGTCCTTGGGCTGTTTCCTGTAACTGAACAACTGAATCAGAATCCTTATTTGGTTAGCTTGGAAGGACTCTGCCTGCAGACTTCATTTACTTTCAGATTATAAATAGGAGATGCTTAAGTTGCTTATACTACTTTATCATGCACATGAAATACATTTTTCTTAAGTTAAACGTGCTGTTTAACTTGGCACACATGCATTTGACTGGAAACCAAGCAGTTTTTATTGTATAATACAAGCTGAATTCATACTATAGTCTTTGATTCTTGAAGCTTTTAAGAAGAATGGAGAAAAAAATGGTATATTTGAAGCTTTTGTGGAATTGTGTTTTGAAATACAAAAAATCTTTACTGCAAGTGCTGAGAGGTACTTAACACTGTTGAGGCATGGTGCAGGTGATGCTCCTGTACAGCTGTGTTCCTCAGGCTCTTCGTAAGCCAGAGCCTCAACAGCTGGCACTCCTTTAGTCTGCCTGTATGTGAGGGTTTTTCCTATGTAGATGCCTAAGACTACTTAAGTGTTGTATTGATCCTGCTGATACTTTTAACAGACCTGCCTAATCTATGTATTACTTCGCAAAGCAGGCATAGTAATTGGTTTTGATCAAGAATGCAAAATGGATTATTTATCCTGAACTAGCTATAAACAGGAACATCTAGAGTCACCACAGTTGTTCTCCTTAGCCCTGTGTTGACATGGAAGCCCCCGCACAGACTGTCTCGTACACACTTGTCCAAAATGCCTTTTGGTTCTGTTTGGCTGAGAGAGCACTAATGGTGTTCGTGTTAGCGTGGACAGCTGTAATTTCTGTTGTTGTGAACTTGGATTATAAACTGCTGCACTTCTAATGGTTCTCAAAGTAACCCTGGGTTGTGCTTGTTTCTCAATCCTCTTCTTCCAACCTGATCAGAACACACCAATTCCTGTACGACACAGAAGGTCCCGCTCTGCAGGGAGCAGATGGGTAGATCATAAGCCTGCCTCTAACGTGCAAACTGAGACAGTCATGCAGCCACATGTCCCCCACGCCATCACAGTGTCTGTTGCAAATGAAAAGGCGCTAGCTAAGTGTGAGAAGTACATGCTGACCCACCAGGAACTAGCATCCGATGGGGAGATTCAGACCAAAGTAATTAAGGTAAAGACAATCTTCACAAAAGAATACCCATGAGAGACATTCACCCTGCTATCCCTTGAAGAGATCTAGAACATAAATGGGTGTTGGGTGAAACTTTTGTTTTAGCAGAAAATTAATATAATTACTTAGTTTGTGAATCTGTTGAGACCAGATCTGCTTAAATAGGCTTAGAGTCTTGGATTTCACTTTTCTTTTCTTTTCTATTGACTTACTATTTTATGTACTTTACCTGCATATGTATCTGTGCACCACATGTGTGAGTTACAGACGGCTGTAAGCTGAAGTGTGGATTCTGGGACTTGAACCAGGGTCCTCTGGAAAATTAGTTAGTACTCTAAACCACTAAGCTAGCTTTCTAGCCCCTGAGTCTTGGGTTTCTTGGTGTACTCCAGATCCATGATGTACTTTAGTTACTAAAGTACTAAGGTTTTAGCTAAAACTTCTATTTCAAAAGTAAACCCAGAACCATATTGACAGTCTGCTTGAACCCTAGCACTTGGGAGGCCGAGTCAGGTGGACCACAAGTTTGAGGCAGTGCTAGAGCACGCAGGTGTCCTCAAAATCAGATAGCATAAAACAAAACAAAACAAAACCACCCAAACAACCATCTCTTACTTTGCTGTCATTTCGAGATAAAATGTTTGCATTCAAACTTGTCCTGTGGTCAGGCATGGTGCCACATGCAGGAGGGCTTTAGTCTCAAAATAAATAAACAAATGAATAAAATTTGACTGAGGACATTACTCAGTATTGGGCTACTAAAAAATCTCTCTTGGAAAGAAGAGACTTTCCTGCCTATAGACGACTCTTTTTTTTTTTTTTTTTTTTTTTTTTTTTTAATTATATAGCCAGTAGAAAAAGTCAGGAATATAGAATAAAAAGACAGGGATGAGGTGGGGAGTCACTTGAAGTTGTGAGGACAGTTATAATTAAGACCACTGCCACCAGAAAGCAGCAGCACCTTAAGAGAGGAGCTGCCTCTGCTCAGTTAATTGAGCCATGGTGCAGTTTAGCTTTTAAATAATAGGTGCAATTAAATATTTTCCCTGCAGCCATCAATGTTACTGGTTATCTGTGCTGGACCTCTCCTGTTAGTGAGAAGTGGACTGAAGTTTCTGAAGGGTTTGTTTGATCAGTAGCTTTAGCAGCCCAAGGGTCTTATAGGTTATGGGTGAGAGTTTTGGATCAGTTTCAGATAGGTTTGTCTATCATTTGGATATATCAAGTCTAATAGTGACTTTTTCTCTTGATTTAGGGTGATGTTTATAAGACAAGAGGTGGTGGACAATCTGTACAGTTTACTGATATTGAGACTTTAAAACAAGAATCGCCGACTGGGTAAGTATTGGGCACAAATATCTCTTTAAAGGGCCGTTTCTTAGCCTCTTGTTCTTAGGAACTGAATATCCTCTGAGGTTTGTCATTAATTCTCCGCAGGGGTATAGGTGGCTTTCCCTCACAGCTAATGTTTTTCATTCTTCTTAGATGCAAAAATGATTGTTGCATCATGTTTCCCCTTTTTCAGTAGTCGAAAACGAAGATCGTCCACAGTAGCACCTGCCCAACCAGATGGTACAGAGTCTGAATGGACCGATGTAGAAACAAGGGTAGGGGTAAAATTCTTGCTTGCTAAAATTAGCTGCATAGTGCTGCGGCACTTCATGCTCTTTGAAGGTGCTGAGGCAGGAGCACATACTACCTGTGCAGCCTGAAGGCCTGTAACTAACATTCTGGTGGGGCATTTGCATTTCTTTAGGTCTGGTCTTTACTAGAGCTCCTCTGTGTGCGGGTGGGGGCAGGGCTCAAGAGTGGGGTGAGTATTGCTCCAGACCAGCGAGAATACTAGCAGATGGACTAACCCGCAGCAGCGCCCAGTGCTCCCTGTGACTACTGCTTCTGAGGAAAGGCTCTGAAGGGGAAGAATTGGGCAAGGCCCTGGCTACCAGCTTCTTTAAGACGCCCCTCTCTTCTTATCTAAAACGAAAAGATACCTGGCTAATCAATCTCCCAGGCCCTTCTTGCTCTTGTTGCCTATGCAGAACTGGATTTTAAGTGTGTGACTAGTGGTTAAACCTAGGTGTCTTCGCTGCACTAGAACAGTGTTGGATTTCATCGCAGGAGAGCCCATCTAAATGGAAGTATGCTTCTGGATCGTTGGGAGCTGACCTTTCCCTCTCTTGTCACTTTTCTCTAGTGTTCCGTTGCTGTTGAGATGAGAGCAGGATCTCAGCTGGGACCTGGATATGAGCACCATGCACAACCCAAGTGAGCACTGTGCCAGCCCTGCTGTGTCCTCCCTCTTGCCCCAGCTTTCCCTCACTCTCTGCTTTTCCCTGGGCGCTGGTGGCAGTCTGTGCTTGGCCTCTGCAGTGCTGAGCTCTCCAGAGTGCTGTAAGAGCTGCTGGAAGAGGTGTCAGCAGATTGGTGGCTCTTCTTCATACTGTGTCATTTATAAATTTCCTAAAGGCTGAGCTGAGAACATCTGGAAAGAGGTGAAGAGGGGTGTGTCTTTCTATGAAATATGACCAGGCATAGATAAACAACATATGTTAAATACTAGTTGTTTTTTGGAACCATAGACAAGGCTTTGCTCAAGGCTGAGGTCTCTGATTTCTTTGTATTTCTGTAAGATGCCTTACTCTCTTACCTAATGAATCTCATGCTCTCAGTATTGCAGTACTTTTTGTTTGTTTTTGTTTCATTTTTTCAAGACAGTTTCTCTGTGTAATAGCCCTGGATGTCTTAGACTTGAACTTGTTCTATAGACCAGGCTGGCCTCAAACTCATGGATTCCCCTCTCCAGTGCCACTACGCCTGACCACTGGTATATGTTCTATAGATAGGTAACGCTGAATGCCAGAGTTCACGTTGAAAGAAGCATGCCATGTGCTCTTCTCTTAAACCCACATACGGGAGTCAGCCTATGTCTTCCATACTTCATATACTATCAGTCTTCTCACATCTCTTTTTCTACATTTTGACCTTGGGTTAGTTCCTTTTGCAGTTTGGAAGGTGGCTGCAGTAGGCTCACAACAGGAGGAGCTACCTCCTGTTGTAATCTGTAAATTACTCACTTGCTCCAAGGACTTAAATTTTCTTATGATAAAAGGAATTCTCACAATGTTTCTAAAGAGTCATTTGTCATGACTGTTGCTAAGTGCAAAATTCAATATTAAATGCTGAGGGTTTTTTTGTTTGTTTGTTTGTTTTAGGCGCAAGAAGCCTTGAACTGACAGCCCTGGGAGGAGAAGAATATTTTTGTATTGGTGATTTCTCCAGAGCTGTGCTACACGCAGTGTCTGAGTCATCCTGCAGAAGAATGTATCTAGATCACATTGTTTTTTTTTTTTTTTTTTTATTGTGACTTGTCTAAAACTCGTTTGAATATTTTGTAAGGTTTTATATATATATATATAAAAAACAAATGCTGCTATTGATTAGCTGCAAAAAAAATGCACTTTAGATATATTTAACAATTAAGAATTTCAAAATAAAGATGGTGACTAGCCAATGGTAAAACCATTTTAGGAAGGTATTTAGAATCCTGTGTGTATATATTCACTTTCTCACCTTTATTTGTGCCATAAGAATCGAAATAAAAAGGATTAAGAAGTGCAAAGTTGTGTGGTGCCCATTCCCTCAGCATGCTCCCACTGCAGTGGTCTGTGTATCTGGTACTCAGTGCTTGGGAGTTTTCCTTACACTGAGGAGAATAGCCTTGCACATCGTCCCCTGTGCACCCCTCTGAAGGTGGAGACTGCACACCCAGCTAGCTTTAACAGGTTTTTGCAAATTTCTTTTTCCAGTTTACCACTTTACTAGCAATTCTTCAGTCCCCATCTTCTTTTCTTGGTGTCAGAGGTACCTTGTATGAGTTGACAGACATGAAATGGGATTTCATTGATTTAATGAGTATTTCCAGATTGTAAGTGTTGAGTTTGGTTTCTCCAAAATATAAGAATCTTTGCAATAAACTAGTAAGTTTTTGGGTATGTAGGACTTTGCATGTTCCTTGCAACTTTGAATCTCCTTGCCTGTGACTTTTCTATTCTATGGCACATTTATTTGTGATGCTAGTGATTAATTCCAGGCCCTCAGTATGCAGAGAGTACATTCTACAAGAGAGGCACACCCATCTGTGGCTAGAGCTTTGTTTTCCACTCTCCTCTCCTTAGATCTCTACATTCTACTGACATTATCAAGTTCTCAGCAGCTCTCAGTGTACTGCCTGGGTCTCTGTTCTTGTCTGTGCATCTATTTGCATTGCCAAAAACACCTAAGTAGAAATTGTCAAGGGCCAGGTGTATTGGTGCAAGCCTCTAATCCCATCTCAGCAGACAAGGATTAACACAAATTCAAGGTCAGCCTGGACTACACAGCATCTTTCACACGGAGCCTGGGTTGTATAGTAAGGTCATGTCTCAAAGTGAGTTTAAGGGGGCCTCAGATGTAGTTGAGTGGGTATAGTGCTTGCACAGGGTACACCAGGCCCTGGGTTAGGTCCCTAGCACTCATGAACTGAGTGTAGCAGTGCACCACAAGTAAAATCAATCCCAGGTGGGGCAGGAAAAATCCTACTTTCCAGGTTATCCTCAGCTAGTTCAAGTCCAGCTGGGGTATGTCACACCCTGTCTGTTTTCAGATTTGGGACCACCTTGTCAGTCTATTGAGATAAATAAAAATTTGATTGGAACTATATAATTTGGAGACTTAACCATTTTTAAACTCTTATCTGTGAAAACTATTGCTTTACTTAGGTTCCTCTTGGTAACTATTTCATAACTAATGTTTGTGGTGCTGAAACGAGAGTTTTAAGGCAACTAGTTAACCTATTATGCATGAGGCTCTGGTTTCAATTTCCTAACACTGGAATCCAAGGTCACCTCTACACAAGCTGTCCAAGAGCTCTACAACTGAGCTGCACCCCAACCTGAAGCGTGTTTGTGTTTTGTAAGTTGACTGCATGTATGAGCACTGTCTCGGGGTTTCTATTGCTAAGGATAAAGTAAGTACTGTGTACTGAGATAGAAGCAAAGGTAGACATTCGTGTTTGTGCTCCATTTTCTTTTTTCTCTGGCTGTCCGGAACTCCCTTTGTAGACCAAAGTTTCTAAATCAGTGATCAACCTGCTTCTGCCTTCCGAGTGCTACGGGCTTCTACCCCACTTTCAAAGAATGTTCAAAAAGTTTTTCTATTGATACTTGCCTTATATGTCTGCTCAATACCCTTATCAGGTTATGAAAGTCACTCTCCTAGTTTTCTAGGGGTCTATGTATTAGTTGCCGAATTTTATCATGTGGTCTCCTACTTCTTTCTGTGGAGCATGTCTGCTGATGTCTGCAGGATCGGACGCCCTGCAACTAAAATGTGAGGCAGTTTGGGGTGGGGGGTGCCAGAATCAAAGTTGGGTCTAATGGAAGAGCAGCAAGATGGCTTAGCTTCTGAGCCATCTCTAGCAGCCTCTGTGCATTTTTTTTTTTAAAACTCCTCCCTCCACGAGACAGGGTTTCTCTCTGGCCTCAATATCAGAGATCAGCCTGCCTAAGCCTCCCCGAGTCGTCTGCCACCGCGCCTAGCTCTATGTGCCTGCCTTCCTCCCTCCCTCCCATCTTCCTTTTTAATATTTATTTATTTTGTATACACTGTTGTGTTTGCGAGTACACCTGCATGCCAGAAGAGGGCAACAGATCTCATTATAGATGGTTGTAAGCCACCATGTGGTGGCTGGGAATTGAACTCAGGACCTCTGGAGGAGCAGTCAGTGCTCTTACCTCTCTCCAGCCCCCTTCTTCCTTTCCCTTTATTTCCTTTCTCTCTTTCTCTTTTTTGGTTTTTCGAGACACGTTTTCTCTGTGTAGCTTTGGCTGTCCTACGCCTGGCTTCCTCTGTGCCTTCTTAGTGAATTACTTTTGAGTATTCTTGGGATGACCTGTCCTGTTTAAGCCAAACCCCTCAGGGTCTTCAACCACTTCATCAGCGAGCCTGGGCCAAGTGCGCGCGCCGTGCCACGTGACCGCCGGGGCTAGCGACTCTTTTCCAGCGTGCCGAGCCGCGGGGCGTCCCTGGCAGTTCAAACAGGCCAGAAACGGCGCGTCCCCCGGTAACTCGACTTTGCTTTGCCAAGCCTTGAAGTTTAGCACTTCCAACATGCGTAGGCCGTAAAACCGGCAGCGCAGGTCCGGAACTGCTTTCCTCAGGCACCGCCTCTCGCTTTTGGCTCCGCCCCTTCCGCCCGGAGCCGGCCGTCGATTGGTCGGCGCGGCCCCATAAGTTGGTTCGCGCAGGCGCGCGCGGCCTTTTCCTCCGCTGCCGCCAAGGTGCTCGGTCCTTCCGAGGGAGCTAAGGCCGCGTTGGGGTGAGTCCCTCACTTCTCCGGCGACTAGCACCGTTCCGGCAACCCGCAACATGGCCTCAGTCTCCGAGCTCGCCTGCATCTACTCCGCCCTCATTCTTCACGACGACGAGGTGACGGTCACGGTAAGTGAGCAGCGGGCGGAACCGCGGGCGGCCACGTGAGTGTGCGGCGGCACCGGGCACTCGGCTGGCTCACTTCGCTTCCCGGATATTCGATAGCTCGGGGGCCATTGGCACGCCTGCTGGATCCTGCCCGCGCGGTCCAGATGGAGACGACGCGAACGTCGGTCTCGTGCGCGCTTGTGGTAGTCAGCTCATGTGTTCGGAGTGGATCGCTTTGCCTCTGGGCTTTAGGACTCGAACTAGCCGCCGAGACTTGAAACATGGCCGTTGTCTTCATGAGGCTGCACTTAGACCAAACTTGCAACATATCTCTATAAGCGACTTGGTGCCTTGGTATTAACCGCATTCTGAGCGCTCTGATGGCTTGGCGTTTGTGTTCCAGGAGGATAAGATCAATGCCCTCATCAAAGCGGCCGGTGTCAACGTTGAACCATTCTGGCCTGGCTTGTTTGCAAAGGTAAGTTGAGTTAGCCCTGCTGGAACCTTTCCACCGCCCCTCTTGAATTTTGTGTCGTAGTTTGTACTTACTAGAGTAGCACTTATGTCAAGCCCTGATTTCTAACAAATTAAAACCTAGTCCACGATTTGAAGTTTGTGGCTTTTAAGTTCCTGTATTTGAAACAGCGAGATTCTTTTAAGACAGAAAGCTACGTTCTAGTCTTAGAAATTGGTTTATTTCTGGCAACCAACAAGTGGGGCCGGCCTCAAGGAGTCTAGGAATTTTGAAAGTATGTCCATTACTTTGTTTTACTGGGTTGTTTTAGAACAGTTTTCCCTTTTATGGGGGAAAATTGGTTTATCTCTACCAAATACAGGACCAGTTATCGATAGGCTGTGGTTCTGTGTGTTGGTCTGGTCTCACGGGTGAAGTGTTGAACATTGCCATTGGATCATGAAGACTGGAATAAAAGCATTAACCTAGCTATTCCTGTGTTGCAGGCCCTGGCCAACGTCAACATTGGGAGCCTCATCTGCAATGTAGGGGCTGGTGGGCCAGCTCCAGCAGCTGGAGCTGCACCGGCAGGAGGTCCTGCCCCAGCCACTACTGCGGCCCCAGCTGAGGAGAAGAAAGTGGAAGCGAAGAAGGAAGAATCTGAAGAGTCTGATGATGACATGGGCTTTGGTCTTTTTGACTAAACCTCTTGTTAACGTGTCCAATAAAAAAGCTGAACCTGTAGGTGGACTGGTCTTGGTTGGATGCAACAGGCTTCAAAAAGTTATATCTCAAAAATGTCAGGGTAGGACCTTTGAGTTCAAAGCCAGCATGAGTTACTTGTCTGAGAAATAAGGTTCCTGTTTAGTGACAGCCGTTTGGAAACGAACAAGTCCTGTAAGTGCTTACAGTACCGACAGGTGGGTTTGGGTGGTAGCACCTACTAGAAAGGGAGGAGAGCCTACCAGTCCACTTGAAGGGAGCTCTGAGAGCTAGAATCCCTTAAAGGTGTGGAGAAGTTAACCCTGTGAGTTTCTCTTAACAGTCCTGTCCTGCTTCTGTCTCCCATGTGCTGGGACTAATGGCATGCAGCAAGGAGGTCTGGTGTTTGTAACTGCAAGTTAATGTGGAGACTAACAATTCATAGGCGAGAGGAACTGGTACCCTTTTGCCTTGGTGATGCAGAGATGGGTTCAAGGCCAGATTGAATAACAAGTCTTGATTTTTCTGATAAGTCACAAGCAGCTTGTGCAAGCAAACCTTGATAATTCTGTTTGGGGAAACACAGCTGTTTTAGACTTGTATGGTTTTAGCCGTAATGAAACTAAGAACTATGATACAGCTCAATGATAGAATGCTTGCCTAATATGTTTGGCCCTGGGCTAAAATCCTGTAGCATGCTCCCAAGTCAGATAATGGACACAGCATGCCAGGG